CAACGATCTGTCTTACACAGCCAACAACACTCAATACAAATATGAAAACAATCTGACCTGATCATGCACTTTGAAAACAGTAGAAAGGATAGCAAACAATTCAATCTCCGCGCCACTCGCACTACCACCACCGTCACTCACACTCACACTCACACTCACAGGAAACTGGAAACCGGAAACGGAAACGGAAACGGAGAGGAGAAGAGAGGAGACACAGAGTGGAGGAGGAGAGGAGACACAGAGTGGAGGAGGAGAGGAGACACAGAGTGGAGGAGGAGAGAGACACAGAGTGGAGAAGGTGAGGAGACACAGAGTGGAGGAGGAGAGGAGACACAGAGTGGAGGAGGTAGGGAGCAGATAAGTGAGGAGACACAGAGTGGAGGATCTGAGGAGACACAGAGTGGAGGATCTGAGGAGACACAGAGTGGAGGAGGTAAGGAGCAGATAGGTGAGGAGACACAGAGTGGAGGAGGAGAGGAGACACAGAGTGGAGGATCTGAGGAGACACAGAGTGGAGGAGGTAAGGAGCAGATAGGTGAGGAGACACAGAGTGGAGGAGGAGAGGAGACACAGAGTGGAGGAGGTGAGGAGACACAGAGTGGAGGAGGTGAGGAGACACAGAGTGGAGGAGTAGGAGCAGATAGGTGAGGAGACACAGAGTGGAGGAGGAGAGGAGACACAGAGTGGAGGAGGTGAGGAGACACAGAGTGGAGGAGGAGAGGAGACACAGAGTGGAGGAGGAGAGACACAGAGTGGAGGAGGTGAGGAGACACAGAGTGGAGGAGGAGAGGAGACACAGAGTGGAGGAGGAGAGGAGACACAGAGTGGAGGAGGTGAGGAGACACAGAGTGGAGGAGGAGAGGAGACACAGAGTGGAGGAGGTAAGGAGCAGACAGTTAGTAGGCGGAGTGAAAACCCACAAATTGAAGGCATCCTGCATGTGGTGTTAAAACCACTAACACAGACAGCCACACAGAGCCAGGTGCAGCAGCTGTTGAGAGCTGCATATGATGCAGCCATGTGGGAAGCAAGACACAGAGCGTTACAATCAAAACCTAACTATTTTTTCTTTACTCCCTTTGGATGTGTTTTTTTTTGGGATATTCATCGGCTGCATCACTTTAGGCTTTCTGCCAGGCTTGGCTATTTTTATCCTGCACATGGTCAGTAACTGAAATAAAATGAGGGAACATTTCTGTGTCTAGCTTATAGATTTTGGCCGGTGTTAAAAGAGGTCATGGGAAACAAAAGATTAATATTTTTCTCTCCTCTGCCTTCCATAAAAGAAGCCACCAAACAAACTACAGCTGGGGGGTCTAGAGCTATGATGAGTAGGTGGGGGAAATGGCAAATGATGTATATAGATCCTGGAGTTGAATTTCAAATTGAGGGGCAGATTAAAAGGCGTGCAAAAGACGATGCAGGCTCAGAAAAAGCACAAGAACTGCCTGAAATGACCCTGTTTACTGATGGTAGTTTTCAAGGGGAAGATAAAGAAGCGGTTTGGGCATTTTTAATAAAGAATGACAATGGTGTTCTGATAGCAAAGAAATCAGGGACTTGTACAGGTACAGCACAGACAGCTGAAGTCACTGCTATTTTGGAGAGTCTTTTATATGCAACGAAAAGGAATATTACTAAGCTTAGATTAGTGACTGACAGTGATTATTGTTTAAATAAAAAAAAAATGCACATACCACTGTGCCACCTGACCAAGCCTCTCAGGTTGTCACAGAGGTACACACAGGGGTTAGGGCATGTAGGTTATGAGAAGATCCGTAGATTATCAGGGAAAACCTCATTAATGTTCCTAACCTCAGAACACACACAACACAAGTGAGATCATGGTGCCAGCAATGTGCTTTGGTCGATGGGTTTAAGAAAGCCACTCCAGACGAGCTAGAGAAATGGCTTCACCTTATCCCATCACCACTGATGCAGATGTTGACACTCATGATCTCTATCTTTACATTTCACAAGCCGTGTGACTGCTCAGCTCTTCCGAGGGTAAGATTTGGGTTTGTCTTTTATTTTATTTTATTTTATTTTATTTTATTTTACTGGATTTGTCGAGAGGGGGAGGGGGTTAGGATGCACGACCCTGAGGAGCCAAACCAAACGATAATTGACTTGCCTGAAATTGAATGAATTGAACAGAAAGTGGAAGAGGTCAGGAGAGGGAAGAAAGGATGTTATAGAGTTAAAAAATCATGCGTTCTCTGTTCATTTTACTTATTTACTGCTGCAGTCGTTTTGTATATGGCTTTAATGGCTTATGCACAGAAAGAAACGTGTTCACTGAGAAGGTGGGATGTGTAGCTCAAAACATTAGAAACCAAACAAGCCTAGAAAATTCATGTGCTACGAGATGTTCAACCAATACCCTGCACAAGCGCTTTCTCTCCTTGCAGAAGCCAAACCGACTACTCAGAGAAAAACGAGACTAAATATAGACAGCTGCTGCTACAGGAAATGGAGCTGCGAGGCTTAAACGTGACTGAGTTCAGCACCCCTCAGTTTCTGATGGGAGGGGAACTCCCCAATGTAAGTGGGGATTCCACCTGTAGGGTTTTTGAATACATAAATTCCCAACTAGAATCACTATAAACGCGACAAATTGCAGCAAGTCATCCTATCTCTTTTTAATGTGTTCCATAGCTATAGGATAGCTGTCATTCTGACAGAATGCCTCTTGACAATTTCTGTCAAGTTTTAAAACATGGAATAATTATGTCAGATGACATCAACGGTGAAGAGATAAACATTTTAGTCTCAAGAAAAAGTTATTTAGTATATCAGGTGTACGAGGCAATCAGAATCAGAACCCAGCAGGGAATTTCTTATGATCTCACTCATCTTTTTAGATTGAATTACTTGAATTCCAGGCGCAGTCCTCGGGCCAAGCTGCCCGAGGGTCAGAGGAGGAGGTCAATGAGGGTACGGAGGGCTCCGGACAGATACAAGAGCACCGGTGGTCAGGGGGATACTTCAATGGCCTCGGCGACCCAGGGGATTAGGAAGCGAGCCTTCCAGGAGGAGGCTGACTCGACGGTGCCAGAAACGACTTACATTTTTTTTTCTTTTTTCTTCTACCTTTCATTCTTTTTGTTTTGATTGACCGGATTTGATAAGTGTTTTTTGGTATTAATGTTTTCCGGTCTGATTTTTGATTTGTTTATGATTTTTTGATTTATAAGTTTAGTGTGTTTTATGTGTTTTTACGGAAATACAAATTCAAGAATATGCAAGAGAGGGTGTTGAAAGATCAGAAAGAGTTATGCAATTGTTGAATTTGTTTTTGTTTTCTCCTTTTATTATCATTTAATTTTTTCATCATTTAATACATAGGTGATAAAGTGGTTTAAGGAGCAGACAGGTGAGCAGATGGAGGTGGGGAATGGGTCTAGTGTTGATACTGAGCAACAGGCAGCAGGTAAAGGGAGGGTCTGTACTGAACCTGCTGAGGAGGAGATGGAGGAAGAAGAGTCTTCTCTTAGTACTCCTCGCTCCAAAAGAAAATCAAAGACTAGTGAAAATGTTTCACTAGAAGAAAAGAAAAGAACAACAAAGAAAGCAAAAGGAAAAACAGAAAACAAACCAAAAGAATCTGATCCAGGATCAGAGGTCAGTGCTGATGAGGACTCTCCCCATCTCACTGACAGTGAAACGTCTGAGTGCAGATACTCTCAGAGACAGAAAAACAAAAGAGACTACAGTGTAGAAAAAATTAAACTGTTTCTACACAAAAACAAAAATATGTGGGGTGTAAAAATAGAAAATGATTTAGCTGATAAAAGGCTTTTTTTTGAGTCGGCACAAGACTCTTTTCTGATCAGGAAACTTATCGACTAAGAAAGTACGTGTCCAAACTGAGACTGTGTAACAATGTTGGTGATGACGGGGATGATGATGATGATGATGATGATGATGATGATGAAAACAAAGAATTGTAGGTTATCTTTTAAAATACAGATGTTTTTGTTTCTAGTTGTTACTTTTTTAATCTCTCTCTCCATGAGTCATTTTAAAGAAGGAACTCTGAATTTAAATGGAGCTAGAGATTCCAGAAAAAGAGCGATGTTGTATGAAGTAATGAAAATGAATCACGTTGATATAATGTTTCTTTTAATGAAGTGGACTGGATGAGAGAATGGGGGGGGGGTCAGGTTATCCTGAGCCACAGCAGCAGCAGCAGTAGTGGGGGGGGGGGGTGCACCTGTCTCGTACACTGTGACAGAGGTAATACGGGGGAGGCTGCTGGTGGTCAGAGCTGTTGATGAACAGTGTGAGCTCTTTTTAATTCATATTTACAGTCCAGCTACAGGAGCAGACAGAATACCTTTTTTAAATGAAATGAACATTCTTTTAAACACTGTCACTCCAGATGTCTTTGTGCTTTTAGGGGGGGATTTTAACTGCACTGACTCTGTTGATAGGAATCACACTGAACCTCATCCTGCTTCTAAATGGCTTTTAAAACAACTCATTGAAACTCATGACCTGTCTGACGTATGGAGGTCATTTTACAAAGACAACAAACAGTACACGTGGTCTCACACCAGAGATGCTTTTATTTCACTAGCTAGGTTAGATTGGTTTTATTGTTTTAAACACCAGATGAACATTTTTAAAAAATGTTTTATCGTGCCTGCTGGTTTTACTGATCACTCATTAGTATTGTGTCACGTTTCTATTAGTCATTTTAAACATCAGAGTGCTTTTTGGCATTTTAACACTTCCCTGCTCTTGATAAAAACTTTTTAGAGGGTTTTAGGTTTTTATGGAGGAATTTTAGAACGACATGTCCTGATTTGAAGTGTTTAAGACAGTGGTGGGATTGTGGGAAGGCTGAAATCAGGGTTTTCTGTCAGCAGTACACTCTCAATTACTCTGTAAAAGCTCTAGAGATTGATATTGTGGAACTTCAATCCTTGATAGATTCCACAGGAAATCGAGGACATATTGAAGTTGTCAAAGCTAAAAAGAAAGCCCTGACAGACCTGCTGGACACCAGAGCCCAGGGAGCCCCCGTCAGATCGAGATTCCAAAGTGTGGCTCAGATGGACGCCCCGTCCAAGTTTTTCTTTGGAATGGAAAAAAAAGAATGGACAAAATAAATGTATGCATGGTCTTCGAACAGCAGCAGGACAGGAGCTGAAAGAAGCTGGAGACATCCGAAGACATGCTGTGGACTTTTATTCTGGGCTCTACAGCAGTGAGTACACTGACAATGAACAGCTGTTTGACTCTTTTTGTGATGGTTTACCCCGTGTCTCTGAGGACTCCAACCAGCTGATCAGAGAACCTCTACAGCTACAGGAGCTGTCCGCAGCTCTGCAGAGCATGGAGGGAGGAAAAGCTCCCGGAATCGATGGACTCCCTGCTGAGTTTTTTAAAATGTTTTGGGATGTGCTGGGAGAAGATCTTCTTGCTGTTTGAAATGAAAGCCTGGCTGAAGAGTCATTGCCCCTCAGCTGCAGGAGGGCAGTAATCACACTCTCTCTTTTTCTCTCCCTCTCTCTCTCCCTCTCCCTCTTTCTCTCTCTCTCTCTCCCTCTCTCTCTTTCTCTCTCCCTCTCTCTCTCTTTCTCTCTCCCTCTCTCTCTCTCTCTCTCTCCCTCTCCCTCTTTCTCTCTCTCTCTCTCCCCCTCTCTCTCTCTTTCTCTCTCTCTCCCCCTTGTTTTTAAACAAGAGTAAAGTCTTTGACCTGCTTTTTGTAAAGCGTCTTGAGATGACACTTGTTATGAATCTTCATTTTTGCGGTTACCGTGACAGCCCTAGTTGTAATGATAATAATATTTATTGTAACAATAATCACTATTGTTATTACTGACACTAATAGGATGATAAAAGAAAAATAGTAAACGTAGGGATTATTATGAAACAAATGACCTGTGACCTTGAAGTTGGTAAACACTAGATCTAAAAAAAGACATATTTCACTCACAGCATTTAAAGCAGTTCAAGAGAACTTATAACAAAATATAAGTGACTGAAGAGTTTGTTAATATTTCAGATAAACACTGTTTTCAAAAACCTAGATATTGTATAGTATATATTTGAAGAACTAAACGACTTATTTTTACTCATATTTAATCACATCTGGACTTACTCTGCCTTCCTGCAGTTCCTCACAGCTGGAATCAGTCTCAGTCGTCCCTGGTCTGATGTGTTGTACTTATCCAAGTCCAACTCATCCAGAACCTCCTCTGACATCTGCAGCATGTAGCCCAGAGCAGAGCAGTGGATATCAGAGAGTTCCTCTGATCTGTTCTCTGACTTCAGGAACTCTTGGATCTCCTGATGGACTGAGAGGTCGTTCATCTCCGTCAGACAGTGGAAGATGTTGATGCTTCTGTCAGGAGAGATATCTTTACTGTTCATCTTCTTCAGGTTCTTGATGACTCTCTGGATCATTTCTGGACTGTTGTCTCTCCGACCCAGCAGGACTCCTAAGAGTCTCTGGTTGGACTCCAGAGAGAGGCCATGAAGGAAGCGAACAAACAGGTCCAGGTGACCATTTTTACTTTTCAGGGATTTCCCCATGGCACTCCTCAGGAAGTCATCCAGGGATACGTCATCCAGGGATAAGTCATCACTTTCAGGAGTTTGAAAAAGGATCCTACTGTCTTTAAGAAAAGCCTTCACTACACCTCTCTTCCTGTTTGTCAAACAGTGGAACATGTAGACTGCAGCCAGGAACTCCTGAACGCTCAGATGAACAAAGCAGTAGACTGTTTTCTGGAAGATCACACACTCTGTTTTGAAGATCTCTGTACAAACTCCTGAGTACACAGAGGCCTCTGTGACATCCAGACCACAACGCTCCAGGTCTTCTTGGTAGAACATGATGTTTCCTTTCTCCAGATGTTCAAACGCCAGCCTCCCCAGCTTCAGAAGAACTTCCCTGTCAGCCTCCACCAGCTCATGTGGACTCATCTGAAGTCCCTCATCATACTTGTTCTTCTTCCTCTTTGTCTGAACCAGCAGGAAGTGTGAGTACATGTCAGTCAGGGTCTTGGGCAGCTCTCCTCTCTGCTCTGTGCTCATCATGTGCTCCAGAACTGTGGCAGTGATCCAGCAGAAGACCGGGATCAGACACATGATGTGGAGGCTCCTGGATGTCTTGATGTGTGAGATGATTCTGCTGGACAGATCTTCATCATCACTGAACCTCTTCCTGAAGTACTCCTCCTTCTGGGCGTCAGTGAAGCCTCGTACTTCTGTTAGCCTGTCAACACATGCAGAAGGGATCTGATTGGCTGCTGCAGGTCGAGAAGTTATCCAGATGAGAGCTGAGGGGAGCAGATTCCCCTTGATGAGGTTTGTCAACAGTGTGTTTAACGGTGATTTCTTTGTGACATCAGACACAACCTCCATGTTTGTGAAGTCCAACGACGGTCTGCTTTCATCCAGGCCGTCAAAGATGAACAACAGTTTACAGACAGCGAGCGTCTCTGCTGTGACCTTCTGTAATGTTGGATGGAAAACACGGAGCAGCTCAAGAAGACTGTACTCCTTATCTCTGATCAAGTTCAGCTCCCTGAATGAAAGCAGGATCACCAGACTGAGGTCTTGGTTCTCTGAGCCGTCTGCCCAGTCCAGAGTGAACTTCTGCACTGAGAAGGTTTTTCCAACACCAGCGACGCCGTTTGTCAGAACCACTCTGATGGGTTTCTGTTGGTCGGGTTGAGCTTCTGTCTTTTGGTTCTGTTGGTCGGGTTGAGCTTCTGTCTTTTGGTTCTGTTGGTCGGGTTGAGCTTCTGTCTTTAGGTTCTGTTGGTCGGGTTGAGCTTCTGTCTTTTGGTTCTGTTGGTCGGGTTGAGCTTCTGTCTTTAGGTTCTGTTGGTCGGGTTGAGCTTCTGTCTTTTGGTTCTGTTGGTCGGGTTGAGCTTCTGTCTTTAGGTTCTGTTGGTCGGGTTGAGCTTCTGTCTTTTGGTTCTGTTGGTCGGGTAAGGCTTTAAAGATGTCCTGACACTTGATTGGAGTCTCATGGAGGGTCTTCTTTTTAGAGTCTGTCTCAATCTGTCTCACCTCATGTTGGGTGTTCACCTCTTCACTCTGTCCCTCTGTGATGTAGAGCTCAGTGTAGATCCTGTTGAGGAGGATTCTACTTCCTGTTTCATCACTTCCTTCAGTCACATGTTCACATCTCTTCCTCAGACTGATCTTAAGTTCATCTGTAACCTCCTGCAGACCTCTATCTGCTGAAAGAGAAGAAACATATCCTGAGACTGGATTTATAAAATGATCAAATCAACAATTGTCATTATTACACATTAAGCAAACTGCATGACACAAAAACATCCCTGTAATAAATGTGTGCTGCTACAAGAGAAATAAAATATACTGAATATAAACTGACAGCAAGAATCAGATGAAATGTAAATGTTTCATTTAACTATATATCAATGAAAATACTAACTGCTTTGTCTTGTTTTTAGGCACAATGACTTCAGTCTTACTTATTACAGTGCTGGACTTACTGGATCTCTGCAGTCCTCGTTCTCCACACTGGGGACAGGAGGACTCTCCTGATGAAGTAGACTGGTCCCAGTATGAGGTGAGACACTGTCTACAGAACCAGTGTCCACATCTGGTAGAAACTGGATCTCTTAGGACACACTGACACAAAGCACAGCTGGACAGCTGCTCCTCCACAGAAACAGACCCCTTTGTTATTCTGTGGAGATAAGGGAAATCATAAAGCCGTTAAAACTGAGACTGACATTTAGAAACCAGTGGTGGACTAAATCAAATAAAGACACAAAAAGCAGTGTTTTAAAAAGGTGTGCCATGTCCTCCGCAGTGAGCATGTGCAGAAGTCTGTCTGTGTAACCATAGAGTCTACCATCTGAGTCCAATAACTGACCTACAAGTGTGATGTTATTTTCAACCAGTTTTCAAAAAACAGGGATTCATTTTTGTAGAGAATGTCCTTATTGTTCCAGATGTAATATCTGTGTGGAGAGAAGTTATGTTTCAAGATGAGAGACCAAGTCAAGAGTATCTGTTTATGGAAGTTGGATAGTTTGATCTGGATTTTACTGATATTATATTTGCACAGTAATAAAATTCCAGGCCACCAACTTTAGAAAAAACATAATTAGGAATCATATTCCATAGAGATGTTGGGTTATTTAAAAATGTCTCAGCCTGTTCACTTTGAATGTTAAGAGCTGTGAAGTCTAAAAAGTTCAAGCCCCCACATTGACTCGTGTTTATTGTCATGTTCTTTTTAACATAATGTATTTTGTTTTTCCACAGAAAGTTAAACAACATATAATCAAATCTTTTGGTTACATTTTAGTCAACATCCAAAGATAGAGCCGGATTAGTGAGTCTGGAAATGCCCTCAGCTTTTGAGAGAAAGGTCCTTCGTCTCAGAGATAAATCTCTTTGTAAACAAGAGTTTTATCAACGATGGGATTCAAATTTAAGGTGCACCTTATATTTTGCTCCGTGGTGATAACTACTCCCAGGTATGTGACCTGGTCATTCACTGGATTGTTACAAATATGGGGAACATTACAATCTTTAACAGCCATAATTCAAAGTGTTTAATATTTAGGTTGAGACCTGAGACCTTTGAAAAGTTATTAATCAGCTTTATAGAGAGCTGCACACTGAGCATGTGCAGGAGCTGTGTCATGACCTGCACACTGAGCATGTGCAGGAGCTGTGTCATGACCTGCACACTGAGCATGTGCAGGAGCTGTGTCATGACCTGCACACTGAGCATGTGCAGGAGCTGTGTCATGACCTGCACACTGAGCATGTGCAGGAGCTGTGTCATGACCTGCACACTGAGCATGTGCAGGAGCTGTGTCATGACCTGCACACTGAGCATGTGCAGGAGCTGTGTCATGAGTTAAATAAATAAATATCGTAAAATCTGAAATATAAGTTGCACTGGTATAAGACGCGCTGTGTTTTTGAAGGTCTCTCAGAGAGAAAATAAAGTTTACACTGTCTTCCTGTGTGACAGTTTTTATTGTGTTCAGCGAAGTCCAAAACCTGCAGTTACTGTTCAGCTCTGTCACCCTTTTAGTCTGTTTTCTCTTTGTGGAGTCTGCTCTCCTACCAGCTACAGTACGGTAGTCGAGCTCTCAGCCTGCAGGGAAAGTTGTGAAGCAGAGACTCCTAGCTTGCGAGCTCTCTGCCCGACACTGCTTGTTTCTCTTTAACTTTAATAAAGGACTCTTTCAATCAAAAGAGCGTTCAACAAGGTTTATTTATGGAACAATATCCTACAGTTTTCTGTAAATTCATTATTTTGACCTCTTGAGGGAAAAGTTTTGAAAACGTAGCGCAGCCAGACTGGTCTGTGTCGCTGTCTTTCCCAGAACAGCGTGCAATCAGCTCTTAATACACTGAGGGCCTGATTTACTAAAGTCCCAAGTAAAGAGTACTAAACTGTGTGTTCACTCCAAAAAATTGCACGTTTGGTGAGTGTGTGATTTTCGGGTGATCACTAAGAAAGTTTGCGTGAATGACACCAGTGCAAACCTTGTGGAGGCGGTACTATTTAAGTTGGGTTTTTGTGTGTTCTACTGGTTTACGTCATGGAGAGTTTGGACGGAAAGCAGACGACGGCAAGCGCAAAATAGGTATCAGTGGAAGAGGCAAATGAACGTACAGTATTTTTGAGTTCTAGCAGATAAAACTGAATATTACAAAAAGAAAATTTGGCTTATAAGAAAACCTCTGCATTAAACAGGGCCTCTGTTTTCTTCATCTTTTGAAGATGAATTGTCATACATTGTGCAGGAGGTGTGAGCTGTGTCCTCTGTGGCGCTCAGGCGCGACACTCTGCACATTGTTGAGCACCAGACAGCTGGCCAGCACTGTGTCTGATCGGACATAAACGCTCTTCCTAAGAGTTATCTAAGACGGGGGTACAAGCAGTGGTGAGGTCCCCCCCAGTCAAGCATAGCAGCAGCGGGCTTTAGAGGGAGGAGACGAGCGCACTATGGAGAGGAGCGCACCAGAGGACACGAGCTGGGGGAGAGACGCACAACCTGAGAAAAAGGAAATCCCCAGTTTAAAATAAAATGTTGGTGAGAAGAGGGAAATATGAAGAAATAAACGTCAGTGTTGAAATTCTTTAGAATGCAAAGGATGTTCTCCTCTTTCACCTCCTCCTGTGAAATTC